AGCCGGGCGAGCCGGGACTTGCAATCCGGAAAAGCGTCCGAGGGCCACCCCCTGCCCGCCTGTATCCTCGGTGGGGTCCCTTGGACTGCGGTTCGTGAGCTCCGCGCTGCTGTGTAAGGGCTGCAGCTCCCCGGGAGCAGAGCGTCCATCCCTGCACCTCCCCGAGACGTGGGGAGATGCTGGTCCCCTGCCAGGTCATCCCACGCGTCCTTCCTGCTGTCCCAGCACTGCCTTGCTGCAGTCTTGAGTGTGACCGTGCAGGGACAAATGCTTTGGGGTCGGGGCGAAAGCAGGGAGGGATGGGGCTGAGTGGGGCTTTTTTTTTTTTTTCTTCAAATCCCGGGTTGTTTTTTACCCAGAGGTTCCCCTGCTCTAGGGAACTACCCAGGGCAACATGCCCAGGCCCTGGATTAAGAGGCCAAGACCACTTACTAGGAACTTTTATGCCAAATAGGGACGACATTTCCAGCAATAACTCAAGAAACTTTGATTCTTTATAGTCTTAACTCTTCTTTCTCCAGCAAGGGGCTGCAATTAAAGAAAAATATTAGTAGGGCTGAGTTTCCAGGCAGAATAGCTGCTGAGGCGAATAACCATCCCTGTCCCATGTTCTCTGCCATTTCCCTTGGTATTTTGCTGCTGTTTCTGGGAGGGCTTTTCATGCAGAAACAAGCTCCCTCTCACCCCAGGGACTGAGGCAGCAAATAACTCGTCTTGTTCCTGACTGAGGCGTCGTGTTTCAGAGCTGCTGAGAAAGCCTGGGAGATCTTAATGGGGAGGCAAAGGTTAAGTGAATCCTAGTTTGTGGAGCCTGGAGAGGCGATTGGCCAGGAGCAAATCAAGATAGGAACACTTGGCACAAAATGACAAGTTCTGTTTTTGGGTGATTTAACCCTTTCGGTCTTTATTTTTTCTCCTGTTGGAAGTTTGATCCATTTAGCTGGAAGCACCTGTGGGTTTGATCAAGGCAAAACAGCACCTGGGCTGGTGGGCCGGCACGGAGACCTTGCTGCAGCACAGGAAGGGTCGAGGCAGCATCCGAGTGGCCCTGGGGAGTGATGTGGGAGCAGGGCAGGGAGAGCTCGGTTCTGCATATAGAGCAGGTAAAAATAGGTCTGGGCAAAACGTTCCTGTGAGAGCAGGAGCGCAGGGCTGCGAGGGGCCAAGAGGTGCCTGTATGCAATTTCTGCAATTTTGTGACAAATCCTGCTGACCTGGGAATGAATCTTGGCATCTGGGCCTTCAGCAGCTCCTGGAGACCAGCATGTGGAGGCGACATGTCCCCTCCCAGCCAGGACTTCACCCCGCCAGACTCCTGGCTGAATCTCTAGATCCCTGGTTTCCTAACGTCAGCTCCGATCCAGCCATCACGACTAAAGCTCAGAAATGAGCCGGCGATGTCGCCCAAACCCACACGTGCTGCCCCAGGTCTCCTGCCGCTTGGCTGGCGGGGAAGCGCCGCGGCCCTAAGCCGCCCTGACAGCCGTGCAGAACTGCTCCTCTCCAGCCGCATTAGGGCCAGTGTCGCCCCGTTCCTCGCTCCCGAGCTGCCAGTGCAGGCCGGGGGATCTGAGCGAGTACACGGTGCGTGTCCCCCCTTGCTTCGCCCGTGTCACTCCGTGTCCTCCCTGCAGCCCCTGCCGAGTCAGCGGAGACTTCCCAGCGAGGCTGTTTGTCTTGGTCTGAGCTCACTGGAGCTCCCGGTCGTGGTGCTGGGGAGGGATATTTGCTGTTTTCCTAACCCGGAGCTGGCGGATGGGTCTGCTCTGCTGTTTTTTATGGCAAACCATGACCACTTTTCTGTTTGCGCCATGAAGAAGCGGGCACACTGCCAGCCTCGGCATGTGGGTGAGCAGTGCCGTGGAGTTGCTCCCTCCTCAATGCCCAACGACGACTTTATCAGCCTCAAACTACCACACGTGTGTTTCAGGTTGGGTCCCAAGCATGGTTTAACGAAGTAGTTTTATTTTGCATTCAAAGAATCATTTTATTTGACTGGAAAAAGGAATTGCTTGGATTCTCCAGCTGTGCCAGGAAGCAGAGCGGTGCTTTTGGGGCTTCCCTCGCTTGGGCCAGGTTTCCCTCTGGATGGGATGGGGGTCAAATGTTATCACAGGGCCCCACACGGCGCACGTGGCACATCTGTGTGCACTGCATGTGAGCAAAGCACCGCTCCGTGTGGGGAGCAGCCGCTGGAAGGAGCCTCCTAATGCCGGAGCTTCCCAGGCTGAAGAAACCCACAGGGAAAGCACCCGGGAAAAGGATGTGCTGCCCGCCCTGCGGCGGGACTCATGTGGAAGAGGGTGTTGGAAAGGCACGGAGCAAATACGGAGCTTCGTATCTGGAAGCCTTTTTCTTGGGCATAGCTGGCCAGAAGTTTCTCTCAGCTGCAGCTGCACTCTGGGCTCTTTCAGGCCAAATTTACTATTATTATTAAGTAATGAAGCAATTCCTGAGTTGTCTCTATTATAAATCGCGGTTAAATTATTGATGGGAGAGTCGGCTCTTACACAAGTTCTCTGTAAATCCCAGGCCCCGGAGGCTTCCCGGCGCTCCTTCCGGCCTGCATCCCAGCTCCATAATTGATGCCCTCTCCTGCGTTGGCTGCTCCCCGCGACGCTGCGGCTGCTCGCGCCGAGCTCCGCGCCTGGCGTTTGCCCAGGAACGGTCTCTACCGCCGAGGACAGCGGCGCCAGCTCGCTGGGAGCCCCGGGCGCATGAACCCGGCCCGCGAGGCTGTTCCCCATGGACCAGTGACCTGGAAAAAACGCCTGGCGAGAGCAGGCGAATTCCCGGGAGCGGATGTGGCAGGCTGGTATCCGTGCGCACACGTGTGCGCCACCAAGGCTTCAGCCCATCGCCACTCCGCTCTGATTGGGAATTTTCTTTGGAGATACATGCGATTTGGTTTTGGCTCTTTTTTTTTTTCCTTTTTTCTTTTTTTCTTTTTTCTTTTTTCTTTTTTATTGAGGGAAAACGCTGATTCATTGAAGCAAGCGTCGCGCTGGAGCGTGACGGGCCCCGGGCAGGGATGGTTCTGATTTATGCAAGGCGGGAGGCTGCTCTGCTGCCAGCCCCGCTCCGGTTCGGGCTCCTCGGCGTTTCCTTCCCGCCGGCTCCTCCGGGCTCTGCGGGATGCTGCGACCAGCCCTGCGAGGGCTGCAGGGCACAGCCAAGGGCAGCTCTTCATTCCGTGCATCCCTACAAGCGCATCGGAGCCCGCGCTCTGCACGGTGACGGAGCGGTGTTTCCTCTCGGCCAGGGTGAATTTCCCTGTTGCACTGGGCTAAGAGCAGCCCTAGATTTGCAGCCCTGGGGGAGGTGACAACAGAGAGGGTGGCCACCCTGGGGACAGTTTCTTGGGGCTGCAGGCGGTGGGAGCACTGGTGACTCGGTTGGAGCAAGGCATAGGTTGGCAGAGCATTTATTTTCCCATATGACCCTGGATTCAAAGTGGCTGGAGGTGGACGTGTTTTCACCCACAGCTTTGCAGAAGAAAACCATTACAAAAAAAAAACAGCGTTTCTCATTTGCGCCATGAGCCCCCACCCCGGGCAGTGATCAGGACCCAGGGCAGGTCACTTGTCCCCTCTGCAAGGCCACAACCTTCTACTCGCTGCAGGAGAACAGCAGGACTTGGCCGCCCAGGAACGGAAAGCGGAGGGGCCCTGCACCCTGTGTCACGTCCCCTCTGCTGCCGAGGCGGCCCGATTGCCGGAGCTCAAAACGGCTAAGTCGCCGCCGTGTCCCGGAACGGCTCATTGGATTACCAGCGTCCCGGAGCGCGGTGCCTGCGGCTGTGTCTGCGCGCAGCGGCTGCGGAGGCGCTCGCTCCGGTAAATAACCCTGGAGCTCGTCCAAAGCCACCGGGCTCCTCTCACACAGGCGCCGGCTCCGAGCGGCGAAGGCCGCGGCCGCCTCTTCCCAGCAAAGCGGGGCCTCCACCTTGGCCTCTGCACCGCAGTGCCGGTTTCCTCTCCATCTCTGTGAGCTCCCGGGAGGACGTTGATCCCCTCACTGGAAGGACTCGTGTCATGCGGCTGCTTCCCACTTGTTCTGTGGTCAGAAGGGTGGAAATTCTGCCCTAGAGAGGGTGACAGCGAAGGACGGGGCGCAGCAGGATGAGCCATCTGGTCTCCACATGGGAGGCCAGCAGCCCGCGGTGACAATCTGCTCCCCAGTGAGGATGTGCAAGGGACAGCGGGGCCCAGCTGTGGGCTGTCCCCTCCTGCTCCCAGTGCCAGTTCCGAGCTGCCTCTGCAGCCCTTCGCCTCCCTCAGTGCATGCGCTGAGACCCGACAGCAGCTCGTTGCACATGGGGCCGGGCGTCCCCGCGCACTGACACCGTCTCCTTGCCTCCTTGCAGACCATCCTGGTGGGGGACAGCGGCGTGGGCAAGACGTCCCTGCTCGTCCAGTTTGACCAGGGCAAGTTTCTGCCAGGCTCCTTCTCTGCCACTGTGGGCATCGGATTCACGGTAGGAGCCAGATGAAGCCGTCCTTGCTCAGTTTGGGGGCTGCTAAAATAAGCGGGAAAGTTTTGCTTTGCTGCAGGTAAATGGGGTAGCTTTGCATCGTGTCCGCCCCCTCTGGAGTGGCCCCGCATTCCCAGGAATGTGGCTCAGGCCACTGCACGGCTCCAGGCACTCACAAAGGGCAAGTGGGTGACAGTGGCCAGGGCCACCTCTCCTAGGGAAACTCAAGGGGAGGGTGATGTTGAGGGG